TTACATCGTTCAGTTGTTACCATGGGGAAAGAGAATACCGATAGTCAATAAAAATGGAAATATCAGTCACTGCATAATAAATGTGAATATTGATATTAAATCATAATTTTAGACACAGAAATTTTCAGTCTATCATAGACTCAACATCACAATCTTTCCTCAGACATACAAGTCATTTCGGCAGTTATCTTGTCGTAAATGTCACTGACAATTGAAGTCAATGCCTTGTAAATGTAATTGATTGTGATGGTGGAACATTAACATTACTGCCGTGAACTTTTCCCCTATAGAGTAACGGATCTGTTATAACTATGACTGTCCATATGATGGCCCAGAGTGTTAACATGATCACAAAGACATTTCAGTCTTTAATAAGTTTACAATATTTCAAGTCATAATTGATACAAATCTTATCATCTAGATCTGGTATGTAAATTTTGGTATGTGCCATTTAGATTTTTTCATTTAGAATGAAATTTCCAATCAGGTTACCATGGTAAATTGCAATATATATCACATGACCAATACTTAACAATAATTTGCTGCTCCTGTGTCATACATTTTTTTTTTTTTTAGGGTATCTAAAACATCCCTAAATAAATTGTCCATACAAACATTTTTGTCCACCATTCTATATGTCATCTCTGTCAGTGAGAATGTTCTTTGTTATCTCAGCATCAAGTAATGTTCCAGGTTATCTCCGTGTCAAAAAACACAGTTTAATCTTTCAAACAATTGCAGCACTAAATTCAGTGTGACATTTTCCTAATTCACACACGATGCATATTACACAAGTCAGGGCTGCAATGTTCAGGAACACAACACACTCTATCACAATTGAACCAATTTCATGATATATATAAATGATTACTTATGTTTTTCCCAAATCACTGTTAAAAAATCCTTCATTTCTATGTTCTAATTGATATGAAATATATGTCTGGAAAACATGATGTGGAGCAAAAAAATCCATTACAATGTATACATATATTACATTATAATTTCTCTTTTGGTAATAACCAAACCCTCCCAAAATTGCCATATCATTGAAAACTGACGGCAAAACAAATTTTCATGGTGTACATTCAAAATGGTTGACAGAAAAAAATAAACATGAAATATCTTCACCTCTTCTTGCCTAGCTGAAGGTTGCAAAATATTAGTTTTACATATCTGAATGATGTATACGACATCTTCATATAAGATAAATTGTCTAAGGCCATCTTGAAGCAGACAGCAAACAGCTGACTATGGTATGAGATACTAATATCCTAACAGGACTTTTCTGGAAACTTTGATTTCAATATCACAGAATTACGCCATCAAAGAAATGTCATATTCTCTTCCGTGGGGGACAATTCAGAAATCTAATTTGTGTTTCTGCAATCTGAATCTGATGTAAGCCTATTTCTCCAGCGTGATGTAAGATCAGTTTAATGGGTAGCTGATGAACTGGTTATGATAGATGTTGTTCTGACTCTGGGCAGAATCAGTAATAGTAGATAAAGGAAATAGTAATGTAATGTATTTATCAATAACACTGTAATCGTACTGACGATCAGGAAATTAATATACCTGTGGAAAACAAGCATTCTGTGTATTACTTCAGTATAACAAGTCCCCTTCCAGCTCCTACAAACTATTACATTGTAACCATTATTGAAGAATAATGAAAATTTCATAATTAATTTGTTTTCTTGTCATATGTTCCAAGGGCAATAACTCTGTACAGACTGAAAAGGAACTGAAACTCAAACTTGTTCTATATATTGATATTAAGCCACAAACCAAATTTCAGTTCACTATCTTTATATATGGGGAAAAAAATTAGAAAACCACATGTTGAACTGACAAACGAGACATAGAGCATACATAGAGGCTCTACTAGGTTTCAGCAGTAGTGGACTGAAATGAGAATAAAAATTCTCTTTTCACAGAATGTGATAGAATTGAAATCAGAATACTGGTTGTCAGCACTAAGCTGTTGTTGATACTATTCATCACAAATTCTGGAATGTCCCAATAGTCATTTTCTGGGAATTATTGGCAGTTAAGAAGTAATTCAATTTTATGGAATGCATTCTTTGGTTTTTAATTATATGATCCAGAAAATTACCATGCATTAAGGTTAATTTAATGCACCTTTAGCCTATTAAAACTAGATTAAAGGGATAGTTAGTTTGAAAAAATTACACATGAACCCAGAATTTAAGGAAATTATTAACCTGACTTTATTTCAAGATTTCATGCAATTATCTCAAAGCATCAAAATTACTTCAAAATAGTTGAAGGAACTATTAAAAAATATATAAATATATCTATATATATATATAAAAAATTAATCATGTTTCATATGATATTTGAATCCACAAACTGCTGTAAGGAATTCTCTCAAGAATTTTCTTTTTTATTCCAGAATAACCAAATTCATTTTTCTAAGTCTTCTTCCTCTATGCTATTCCTGTTTTAGACAGACTTAAAAATGATTGACCCACATTTAAATTGAGTCATCACTAAATATCCATTTGTTTCTCTTTCTATACAACCCGGATAGACAATCCCATACCACGATAAGCCCTGTCTTGTTTTAAAATTAGAAATAAATTTCTACCTGAACTTTATTAATATTCAGGGACATACTTCATTAATGATAAGAAAGTTGCAGGTTCAGATTCTACCAACAAAATTTTCTAACTCCAATTTCTGTGATCCAATGCTTCCAAAACCCTTAACAGAACAAATTCCAGAAACCAGTGAAATCTGCCCCTCATTCAAGCATCTCCAAGGCATGGATGAGAGGGATTCTTTTAACATAAATATAACCTGACTGCCTACAGCCAGAGGGCTGAATGGAAGAAAACACTGCAGCAGTGCTTTTACCAGATTTAACAGGACACTGCACTGCAGTAGTCAGTCTTAACACCTGCTTTAACATCACAAAATATATGTACTAAAGGCTGAAAGCAATACTACAGGTCACCCAGTCCTTGCTATGTTTAGGTATTTGAGCAATCATCCTTCGTATCTAAAGGTATCCATCTTAGGTTTGTACTCAACTTCTACACAGACTTAAAATAAAGACATTCACCTGTACTCAACTTCTACACAGACTTAAAATAAAGACAATCACCTGTACTCAACTTCTACACAGACTTAAAATAAAGACATTCACCTGTACTCAACTTCTACACAGACTTAAAATAAAGACATTCACCTGTACTCAACTTCTACACAGACTTAAAATAAAGGCAATCACCTGTACTCAACTTCTACAGACTTAAAATAAAGGCAATCACCTGTACTCAACTTCTACAGACTTAAAATAAAGGCAATCACCTGTAGTCAACATCTACACAGACTTAAAATAAAGGCAATCACTTGTACTCAACTTCTACAGACTGAATGAAGGCTGTCAGAATTTCTATTTTATTCTAGCATCACTAAAATACTGTTGGATAAATGACAGCACCACCAGAATATTGTTGGATAAATGACAGCACCACCAGAATATTGTTGGATAAATGACAGCACCACCAGAATATTGTTGGATAAATGACAGCACCACTAGAATATTGTTGGATAAATGACAGCACCACCAGAATATTGTTGGATAAATGACAGCACCACCAGAATATTGTTGGATAAATGACAGCACCACCAGAATATTGTTGGATAAATGACAGCACCACCAGAATATTGTTGGATAAATGACAGCACCACCAGAATATTGTTGGATAAATGACAGCACCACCAAAATATTGTTGGATAAATGACAACACCACCAGAATACTGTTGGATAAATATTGTTTGACAAATGACAGCACCACCAGAATACAGTTGACGACTATATATACATCGTACATTTAAGGTCAAAGAATTGCTATAAGAGAACGTGTGAGTGTTATAGTACTGTTTAACATCATTTGTAGTTGTAAAGTTTCCATCAATTTAAAATCAGATTTTAACTCAGGCTTGCTATATATGGTATATATATGTAGACACTTAATCAGTCTTCACATAACATATCCCAAGAAGTTTTATGGTTTTAGGGTAGAAGTTTCAAGGCTGGAAATTTTTCACAGAATCACATAAATGTATATCATGAATTTGACAGCCATTGCTGGAGAAATCTTTGCTTCTCAAATTGGATCAGGTGATTAAAGGCATTTATCACATGAGTGGCATCCATTTCACATTTTTATGACTGTCAGTCGTTTCATCATCAAAGGAGACTAAGGTATTAACAGATAAAACTTATCTACTGGAAAATCTACCATCTCATGTATCTCATTCTTCTTGTTCATTGCTCAGAGTTCATTTGAAATATTTATATTCACTTATCAATAATTATGTTAGTTTTTTTTAAACAATCTATCATGTCAGATACAATATATACTAGTACTGGGTTATGTGTGCCCTTGTTAAGAAATCATATTTGGCATACAATTTTTTTTTCTTGCAGAACATTTGCAGCAACCTAAGGTGGCTTCTACATTCTACCTGTTTTTGAGGGGTGCCTATTTTTTTTTTTTTTTTTTTTAGATCACAAACAAGCAACAAACCACTAGGAATTTGATGTGGACAATCCATACTTTTGTAAAGACTAGAAAAGGAATGGAATTTCTTTATCACTGTAATTAAGTAATAAGACCAGGGTGTCAACATATCATTAGACTCAAAGTCAGGGGGTAGGCTTAGTACAGATCAATAATTAATATCTGTTGCTAATGTTACTGAGCAACAAAAGATAGGAATGGACTTACTACAGGTCAATAAATAGTAGTTGTTGCTAATAAGTATATCAGGGTGGGCTTGTCACAGGTCAATAAATAGTACTTGTTGCTAATGCTACTGGACAAGGGTGGGCTTATTACCAGGCCTGGTCATTGTACTAAACAAGATGGTTGACCACTTTGCTAAAATCTACTTTGGGAATATCATATACATATATATTTAAATCTTGAGCGCAGAAAGTTCAGCATACAATTCCATTACACTACCTATTTCCACTGCTGGGCCACATAGAAGGCTTCCAATCCTGTGCATGTGGCTTCCTGACTGACAGGCTGGCTAAGTTCAGGATTTGTTCAGGTTTGTAGTCACAATAAACTGTTTGACAACATCTAGAAAAGCACCATCTTGTTCACCCATAAATCAAATCTTGACAAAAATGTGTGGCTTTATGTTGGTATGTAAATGTTCAATCAAAGCCATTTGATAATTATAGAAGAAAATACATTTTGCTTCTGGCAGATTTTTTATAGAGATGGATGTACACAGGAAACAAATACATGGAAAAGTTCGATCAATTTTCAGAAATGTAAAAAAAAAAAGAAACTCCACTGATAAATTTTGATGTTACTAACAGACTCTACCTACAATGATGTTAAAGCATGTCAGTGGGATTGTTTCCTTCCCCTATAGAATGTATACACGTTCCACTCCGAGTGACAGAACTTCCTCTACGTAAAAAACCTTTCCGCAATTTCAGGGCTCTTTTAAGGGTTCTATTCGAAAGCATTTTAAAAAACCTGAAAAAGAAACTTAACACCACACACTCTATTCTAATGGTAGCTTGGCACTATTTCTTACTTTTGCTTGTCCTTCAAACTCCTGTGATGCTGAAAATGAAAAATATCCTTCATACCAAACATCTGTGAAAAAAATATCTGACTATAAGTGAAATAAAAGAGACTTTTTTTACGTACCTTTCTTCTTCCTCTGCTTTAGACCTTATATCTGGTATTGCCACTGTAAATAAGACATTACAGTATACAGTTATCTGCCATTTAATTTCAGGTCGGTAATTATTACCTCTTAAAATGAAAAGAAGATAGATATGAAAATAAGGGGCTAGCTAGCTGGTAGATAATTGGCAAACATAACTTCAGGTTTTGGAAGATATGAGGTGAGGTGCATGGGTCAATGATCCTCACCTGTGACAATTTGTGTTTCTGAGGAAACTGACAAAAAACCAGTTTTTGCTGACATGATTGTGGTTTTGGGCAAAACACTTTACCCTTACTGCTCTGAAAAACATGTGATGGGCCTCCTGCATGTTATTCAATGAGGTATCCACCAGCTACTACAAGGGTTTCCCACCTAAAAATGACTCAAATGTAATGTCTTACCTGTGAACTTAAGACATTCCAGAACTGTTAATGAGACAGATATGTATATAAGTGTCTTACCTCTGAACTTAAGACATTTCCAGAACTGTTTATGAGACAGATATGTATATTAGTGTCTTACCTCTGAACTTAAGACATTTCCAGAACTGTTAATGAGACAGATATGTATATTAGTGTCTTACCTCTGAACTTAAGACATTTCCAGAACTGTTAATGAGACAGATATGTTTATTAGTGTCTTACCTCTGAACTTAAGACATTTCCAGAACTGTTAATGAGACAGATATGTTTATTAGTGTCTTACCTCTGAACTTAAGACATTTCCAGAACTGTTAATGAGACAGATATGTATATTAGTGTCTTACCTCTGAACTTAAGACATTTCCAGAACTGTTAATGAGACAGATATATATATTAGTGTCTTACCTCTGAACTTAAGACATTTCCAGAACTGTTTATGAGAATCCAGGGTATTGTTTATACTCTTAACAGCACTGTAACAGAAGAAATCAACAATCATTACCAACAAGCTCACCTGAAGTGTAGAAAAGTGAATCGGAACATGTCATAAAGATTTCCATTATCATGTCATCATGATAAATTGCCAATGTCCATCATCTACCTCAACTGGAAAGAGAGTCGCCATCTTTGGGCTGGCATCAGAAATAATGAGTATATCAGGGATCAGATAATGAAAGTTATCCAATTAAAAAACGTGTTACATAAACATTGTTTTAGAGCATAAGACAGTGGAACTTTTTATATAAAATCAAATGTTACTGTATGACCGTGTTTTTTCCTGTTTTCTGATTGGCTGATTTTCAACATTCCCGCATTGCTCAAACATTATATCAACCCTTAATCAATCCAACAATACTAGTTTGTACCCAAATATAGAAAACGAGGGACTTTCCGTGACATCATAATTGCATTCTGGGTGGATACAACAATCCATCCAAGCTGGTTCATATCCAAATATAGTAACCAGGGACTTAAAAGACTTTAAACACCAGAAATGCAACAAATATGGAGGTGAAGATTTTTCGGTTATATTTATTAGAAAAAATCAAGTCAACAGAAAGCCAAAATTGTTTTGAGTGATGAATACAGCTGTAGTTTGTTGTTGAAATTAATGGTGGTGCAAGAACGATAAATGGATTGGTGTTGTACAACCTTATGTATATATGTTTCCAAATGACTTTGTCAAATTTTTAGCAACATTAAATTATCCATTTACTTCAAAATCATAATGTTTTTGTTTCCTTTTTTTTTTTATCTTATTATGAACTTTGATAGATATTTTAAATGTCCCTGCTCTCAAATAATAGCAAACAATCATTTTACATAATCAAACAGTTATCAACCTGTTGATCAACCCAGGAAAGTGACATCTATCTCGGCCTTCATCATATTCACTAAAAAACAGGTCAATAATTGTACAGTGTTACTTTTTATATAATATCAGATAGTGGAACTTTATATATGATGTTAAATAGTCTCAAGTTGATCTAGGTTTGGCCTCATTGGCCTGACCATGGTCTAGTAGGATTTATAGTCTTCTATCTGTTTGAAAGAAACCTACCTTTCCTGGGGTTGTTGGTAAGGTAAATATGGACACGGATCACCAAGCAGCATAGAGGTACATGTGGCCATACTGTTTGCTATAGACGTCAGATTGTACCCTCCCTGATGAATACAAATTGTACATCATGTAAATAATCTATAGATAGAATAACAAAAACTGTTTCAGAAAAATTAATCCTGCACATATAAAGAGGTATGAAAACACCTTAGATGCTGTTAGCAGTTCCATGTTGTTTTCTTTTTAGCATTGAGATATGTGGAAGGACAAACCAACAATAATTATAAGTTTCCTCTAGCTATTATCAAGAGCAAGGCCAGAAGCTACTCAGGTGATGTAGTGAAGGCCAACATAAAAATTCTCTCTGGGGGAGACATTATGTTCCACAAAACTGAACCAGAAAAGATTTTGAGATCAAAGAAATTAACTATACAAAGGCTTGTAGAAAAAGATAAATGTGGATTTGACTGTGAGAAAACATGTGAATAAGATGATGGGTCATTGGTAATGACGTCTAAATATCACCTCATGACAGAAACAAGCTTACATTAGTGTTGCAAGCAATACACGCCCCTGCTGTGCCATAATTAGCATTTTTGAAGCAACATTACAAACACCTTGGTTAGAACATGACATGGGAATTTTAACTACTATGTAACTCAATATCATGTACATGTCACTTTCTTTCAGAAGTATGTTAGTATCAAATGGTATTTATTAATCAGAAATAGATTACTGATATAAGTACCTTCTTCTGTGCTGAGGTTGTCATGATGGAAATGAATCCAACTACAGTCAGGGGACTAACAAGTTTTTGACATAGGTAAATACGAGCAGACATAAATATACAGAATCCCATCTAGAGATTTCAAAACTCCTTGAGAGAAGGCAAGGAGGCAAATTAAAAAGCAGGTTTAAGAGTGATCCTAAACCGTTCGACCTGAAGAATCACAATGAAAGAATGATCTTACTAATTTTACCCAGTAATATCGTTTGAACTTGATGAATTTGCATAAGTTATTAAATTTGACCTTTGACTCTTAACCTTAACATGGATTCACAACAGAATTAGACAGGATGGGATGGTACAGAACAGGATGAGATGAAATGGGACTTGATGTGATGGAGTGATACAGAAGGACAGGGGTACCACCATATGGCCCCATCATAAAATGGTTTACACAAAAATATTAAATGTTTCTACATGAGAAACTTACCTCCAAGACAATAATCACTCTCCCATTGGCCAGTGATGATAGCATGTGGGTCATGTGACCATAACCAGCAGGTGTGACATGATATCCACCCTTTAACACAGATGTACATAACTGATTACAGGTGTATAGAATTACAGGTTACAGGTGTATAGAATTACAGGTTACAGGTGTATAGAATTACAGGTTACAGGTGTATACAATTACAGATTACAGGTGTAATTACAGGTACATATAATTATAAATTACAGGTACAGTTGATGATAAAAAATAAAAACATATCATCTTTAATCATAGTTAATATGATCACAACATTAGCCTTAAATATGTTTCAACTAGTTAAAAATAGTATACAACATAATAGTAATTTGTCAATACAAAATTCTTGTGAAGTCATGGACAGAAACTACGTAAAAATCTTACCAATGGATCTCCTAAAGCAGCATCAAACCCAGCTGACACGAGGACAAGTTCAGGAGCAAACTGTGAGGTCAAAGGTCATTCAACACTTAACCAATTCATTAATGGTGTTTACAAAGTTATTAACCATGATGACTACAGCACATCATTTTCAGGTACCAAGGTACTTCTTGATTATTTTTTAATTTCATGTGTAATATCTTTGAACAAAACTTTAAAGTCTTGTGTGATTATTTTATTGAATAAGGAGTCATTAGGTTTAATCGACTCGAGTCTAATCTTGTGAGTTTAATCTCAAATATATTCTACTCACAATATTATGTTTGTTTCTGTCATTCATTTCTAGACATGTAGCAAGACAGATGACATCTATTGTTATCAAAATTCATAATTCTTTAAACAATACTCAAATAAAGTGAGATAAAGCTTACCTCATAAGCAATGGGCATAACAATTTGCTGGAAGGCAGCTATATACTCAGCATCACCTTTAGGACCCTGTAACATGTATTTTATGACTCAAAATTAAATTTTCCTTCAATTTTTTGTTTTTTAAATCTCTACAAAAAATGTCTGCTTCAATTCCACAGAAACCACAGTAAATTTTATTTGAAAACTATATAAAAGAATAAGCAACAGTGTTAAGTTATTTACAAGGTAAAAAAAGCATGATTCAAAATAAAATCTTCAAATACACTGAAATAGTGTGTCTCTTGATCAAAGTAACATACCCATTGATAAAAAGTAAATTTACTTATTTAAGCAGAATCAGATATTAACACATTATCCATTTTGAGAAATTAACATCATGATAAATTAGCACCATGATAAATTAACATCATGATAAATTAGCACCATGATAAATTAACACCATGATAAATTAACACCATGATAAATTAGCACCATGATAAATTAACATCATGATAAATTAACACCACGATAAATTAGCACCATGATAAATTAACATCATGATAAATTAACACCATGATAAATTAACACCATGAAAAATTAACACCATGATAAATTAGCAACATGATGAATTAGCACCATGATAAATTAGCAACATGATAAATTAACACCATGATAAATTAACACCATGATAAATTAGCACCATGATAAATTAACATCATGATAAATTAACACCACGATAAATTAACATCATGATAAATTAACACCATGATAAATTAACACCATGAAAAATTAACACCATGATAAATTAGCAACATGATGAATTAGCATCATGATAAATTAGCAACATGATAAATTAGCACCATGATAAATTAACACCATGATAAATTAGCAACATGATAAATTTGTATGTAAGTAGTAATTACTATGTAAAATCAAAAGAGAGAACTCCAAAACTTGTGCAATCATATTTAATTCAATAAATTCAAGAAAATCCCTAGAATAAGATTATTGGTAAAATATGTATTTTTCCAGTATTTTCTTACATTAAAATGCAATTCACAAAATGCAGTTTCTTGGATTCAAAAGGTCATTTGAAACTAATATGGTTGACAAATATCACCTCATTAAATGGTATGTTGACATTGTATCCATTTCCGTCCCCAGATCCCGTCATATCATGATTTCCGTCCGAGGTAGTCGGATAGAAAGACCCATGATCATATCGGTGTAAGGAGATGAAGAGGATGCTGCAACAGATGCAGAATATAAATTATAAAACTAACATATTTCCAGCATGTCTTAGTTTTCACCTACCGTAAACATGACTAATAAGAAATACTACAGGATCTGGCATATTTTGTCTAATTAATCTGTCTTGTTTGACACTTAAAGCTACTGGAATAAAATGAGGAGCCTTTATAAATAGGTTGTAATTCGCTTGGGGGTATTTCAGCTGTGGTACATCTTCGATTTGGGCATTTTTCTTCATTATGTAATTCGTAAGTCCCCCAAGAATTCTATTTGGCAGTAAATAGTTAAGTTGCCTCTCTCCAGGTACATAGTTGAGCCAGCAGCTTCGATATCTTGACAGTGTATTTAAACATTTACTTGTTGGCCGGGTAATACTGAAGTTTTGGCAAGCACTACAGCTGTTATAGCCCCTTATCCCATATTATTATATTGTAATAAACTGTTAAGATTCCTCGCAATGTGCCTCTGCGTAATTTGTTCATAAATAGGTTGTATTTCGCGGACAACACCAGGGCCAGTAATCATGAAACCGTCCTCATGCTCAAGCATGAATTTTGTGCTCAAGCCTTATATCTTGTTTAGGTTAAAAATTAATAGATAAGGCTGATTTTGCCAAAGATTTAAAAAAAATGGAAAGGACTTCAAGTCAAAGTTATATTCAATGTTTATATTTGACATTTGTATTATTTTATATGATTTAGGTGAATTATAAAAAAAGTTTGCTTAAGTCCAAAATCTATGCTTGAGCATGAGAATGGTTTCATGAATACAGGTCCTGGACTTGTTCACCCTTATTTTCTTTAGAGGTTTATCTGAAAATTCAGATTTCGGCGAATATTAAAATTCAGAGCCAGAGCTAGCCCATGAGCTGTTTAGATTAGTCTGTGATCAAACTTCCATGGAGAGAGCAAATTAAACAAACAATTGAAGTTGAGAAATTTATTTTTACATCATTTTGATTCAATAAGAATCACAAAATGGAGTCAGCTTTTAATAGCAACAGAATATCTATAACACTTTTATTCTGTAGGGAAATAAAACTTGGTTACCTTGGATCCTCATATAGACTGTGCTGGGTTCCGTTTCCATGGTGAACATCCCAGTCCACAATTAACACCCTGTCAAAAAAAAAGGTTAGAAAATAAATACATTCCTTCACTACAAATTCATCGTTGTTTACATTGTCATGTTTACATGAAGTTCTGAATAACCTGAAGAAACAACTGAAACAATTCTTACCGTTTTAGTCCAAATTTATTTTGAGCATACTTGGCTGCAACAGCCACACTGTTGAAGAAACAGAATCCCATAGCTTTGGTACATTCAGCATGATGACCTGGAGGCCTTAGAAAAAAAAAAAACAATAAAAAAGTCAAAATTTGTCGAAAACATTTGTTTTTAAGACTAGAAATAGACATATTGCCATTAAACAAAATATCTTATTTCTTTTCACAAAATTAAAAAAAACTGCAAAACAAGCTGTCAGTTTATATAAATCACTGTTGTTGGCCAAGGTGTTATCATCTAAGCGATGTTAGTGTGGGAGGAAACAGGCCGAGCACCTGGCAAAAACCCCAGTGGTCAAGCGGATGACTCCATATATTTCCACATCCAACCTCGGAGTCGTAAACTAGTCGCCTTGATGAAAGGCGAGTGTACTACCACTGCCTCACCCAACCATTCAATTTCAACAATTCATAAAAACCTATAATATCATTTTTTCAGTTAAGAGATTTGTTTCAAACAGTAATCAGATTCGAAGTATATTTATATATCGGGAAACACAAAACTGATCTATGATATCAAAGGATTGTATTTCTAACTTTCTCATATCAACTCATCACCATTGCTATCTATCATTTAAAATAGCCATTGTTTGAGGACACTTGTTAAAAAGAATGCTTTATCTGTTCAATATTATCCTAATACTAACAATGACACGTAATACCATCACTTCAGCTCCAAAAAATTCAAGAGAAATAAGACTAAACCTTACTATCTTTTTAGAAAAAAAATACACAACATATTTATCAAGAAAAATCACTGAAGCTTTTACATGTTCTTATGGTGAACACAATATTTTGTAAGTTTCAAATTTTTCAACCTAAAAACTCGATAAATTTTCTCTACCATAATCTATAGGCCACACTTCCATGTAAACATCACAGAATTGGTTTTCAGTTTTTCCTACCTCACAACAGCGACACCACTGTTAGACTGCCCTGACAACACCGAATCTGTCACACTGAGAACACATCCTGTTGCCATTCTGGCACAAACATTGGTTTCCTGGTTAAAGATTAGAAAACAATAACAGACTGAAAACAAATACTAATAATGTGAAAAGATGTTCATTTCTATCATGGAAATTCACGTTATCAGAAATACAAATTTTCTTGATTCACTTTTGAATAATTATTTACATCACTTTATGTCAGTAAAAAATAAACGTTAAATGAAAAAGAAATTTACATCTGTTGACAGGAAATACTCAAATTACTCTTACAGGACACATATAGATAGAACTGAATCTGTGTTGCAAATTTCTAAGGTCCATGGGAGATAACTCTGCTGATGCCTGCATCTGTTCTATATAGGCGGCACTGTAGGAGAAAAAATAGGATGACAGTAACAAGAACAGGTATCATATTCAATCAGTTGTATAATCAATACTATAGAATAGATAAATAGCATCTAACATCTATTTTTTATGAGACCAAGATTTTCTTTTTTCAATAATTTTAAAGTTATTGGATTCAGAAAAATTACCATCTGAAGACATCATAATGAACCTCAACTGTTTTCTGGATCAGAATTTGATATTATTACTTACTGAGTTGTTACCTGGTATAAAAATACAAAATTAACGAACAAGTGGTCAGTAGAATTACCTGTGTATTGTCTGTATTTCTCCGTCTGTAGCTAGCCGAGACTAAAATAAACAAACAGCAGCTGATTTAAAGCAGTTATCTTCCTACATTATAATATAGAGTACATAATGATGAAAGGCAATGATGATAAAAACATCTTCTCATGAGTAAGATCCCTTCTTGTCCATTAATCAACCTTTACTCATAAAACACAATAAAAATAACATGTCGACATAATCATAATCCGAACTTAAATTCCATTTAACTAGGGCACACTATGAACAATCTTGAGATTTACACAGAGATTCCTGAAAAAGTACAATGAGAATAAGACCAGGAGCCCCAGAAGAGTAAGCCTCTTCTGATTCATCGATGACATCCGCAATGTAAACCTTGGTCAATCCAAGTAAGCAATGTCACATTCTCAAAGGAGAACAAGGTATACAACAACGGAGCCAACAGGCAAACTAACGAGCATCAAACACGTCCAGCTTCATGTCGCACAAAGAAATAGAATATTTCTCAATGAGATTGCAATGGTGACCATAATACTTCCTCATAATTTTCATTAACATTCATTGAATCTTTTTTCAAATAAGAACATAGAATTAAGAAGTCTTGAGTCCCTGATTTTTTACATTTAAAATACTGGTTCTTTCCTTATAAGAGAATGAAAGATCAAGTTACACAGGATGCTTGTGACAAAAGTTCAAATGGTGGACCAAATTGTAACATATCTCTGTTACTTCACTTCATCACATTTTACCTAAGATGTCCAGGCTTTCAAAACATTGTACCTTAAATTCTATCAAACATCAAAACGTCATCATTACCTGAACACGTAAACACCTATCCAGCAAGCCCCACTCTGCATGTTTGTCAAATATACTGGTGACACGATCTGGATCCTCGGGATGTCTATAAGAAAATGTTTTCAAAATCAAATAAATTTAAAACTGGTGACATGATTCGAGTCTTTCCAACCCAGCTTTAGGGTAGACATACTAAGAAAACATTTGAGAAGGATTAAATACAGCAAGTATTAGCAATTACCAAGAATAAATTATCTGTTATCATGCATTCGCTGACTTTTAATAATAAGCTTTCCTCTCCAAGAAATGTCTATCTGACCCTGAACATATAAATGTAGTGTAAAAAGCTAAGTATATCGTTAAAATCACCATCTATTCAGCTTCATTGTTAGATTTAAATATCACTAGGATAAAATTGTAACTTACGCTCTGAATGTGATAGCATGATGGGCTCGCATACCTTCATCATACACTATACAGGTCCTATAAACACAAAAATACTTCTGTTTAATTACAGGAAACCTCAACATGTTTAAATAAAGAAATATTCACATAGTTTCCTGAAATGTGAAGTAGATATTCCAATTATCAATTTTTAAAAAATCATTGTCACTTTTACATTACCTATGAATTTTTCTAAAATTTATATCTATTTATTTTTTTTTGTATTTTCGTTTATTTTTTGTTAATTAAAATGTCAGCTTACTTGTTTGGGGGTGTAACTAATGAGGTCTCTGCAATCAGCTGATCGATGACTGGGTCAAATTTGTGTTGTATGATATATTCCTCCTCGACTCCTTCCTCAAACTCATACATGATTGGGAACTCCTTGGGTCTGTTCTCGTCTGTGACAAATGGCATGTCTGGCCTGTGGTTAGAAAATATGTTAATCAGTCTGACTACACTTAAGTATTGTTTCTATTCAATCACATATAACACAAAGCATGCTACAGATAAGAGTGATCAATTTTTATATGATTGCATGAGATGAAAGTTTCTTAAATGCTCTGTAAAATGAATCCTTGTGTCAATCTTATTAAAACCATACCTTGACCTATAACTTCTTGGTGTAGTTTACAGAACTAGTACTAGATAGAATTAATCAGACTGATGATTAACAGTCACCTGAAGTCTTCGGGTCTTTGGACAGTTTAAGAACCTGTCCATCTGTCCAAGCATTAGGACAGACAGAACACAACCGATAAATTCATACTTACAAAAATTTTTATTGTTTCATAGTTTCAAGGTCATTCATTTGAACAAACTTGGTAGACCTTCATCCCCGCATGCTACTGGCCCAAAAACATGACCCTGGGCCTTTCCGTTTTTGAGAAGAAGTCGAAAATGTAAATATTTAACAATGAACGACAGACGACGCACAATGCTTGACAAAAGACAATCGCAATAGGTCATTTGAGACTTTGTCTCAGGTGACCTAACAAAGGAAATCAGCCATGTTTTTTTTATTTACTACACAACACTTAATTTCTGCATAACTTCATAATGGATGCTTACTTTGGAGGCATTTCATTAACATCTTCAAAGGGACATAACTCTTCCCACGTAAGCTCTGTCTGGTAGCTGAAGCAGCTCCAGTATGGACGTAGAACTTTGATCACATTGAGGATAGTAGACGTTATACTGTAACAAGAAGTTCAACATTAAAACTTTAGTACAGGAGATGACGGAATACAATAAAATAATGTCTAAGTTGAAAGCCAGCTGTGCATCAAACCTGGATGATTATAGGGCTTCCTACTTTCTGAGAAAATAAGCTTAAAAACCTGTTTTTGTCCTAAAAGAAGCTAAGCATCCTATTATCCAACTCAGTACCATATGTGGTTGCTTACGTACTTATTTGTGTGCAAATTATTAATGTTGATGTGGAAACCACACTTGAATGTTAAGAGAAAAAAAAAATTCTGTTTTTATTTCTTTTTCATTAACACAGCAAAAAATTCTATTGTCTGAAAATATACTTAACAAAAGCTGTGCATAACAATGTCTTATGTCAAGACAGGCTGTGCATAACAATGTCTTATGTCAAGACAGGCTGTGCATAACAATGTCTTATGTCAAGACAGGCTGTGCATAACAATGTCTTATGTCAAGACAGGCTGTGCATAACAATGTCTTATGTCAAGACAGGCTGTGCATAACAATGTCTTATGTCAAGACAGGCTGTGCATAACAATGTCTTATGTCAAGACAGGCTGTGCATAATCATGTCTTATATCAAGACAGGCTGTGCATAACAATGTCTTATGTCAAGACAGGCTGTGCATAACAATGTCTTATGTCAAGACAAGCTGTGCATAATCATGTCTTATATCAAGACAGGCTGTGCATAACAATGTCTTATGTCAAGACAGAAGTGTGAAAGCCAATGAATGCACATCAAATTTGTTTGTTCTTTCCTTGGCTGTGTCAAACACAATTCTAAACTCACCTGTGGCAAGGATCCCCCATGGCAGGTAAGATAGGACAAGGGTCCCCCAGTAGTGTTCTCAGTGTTAAGGCAACAGCCTCAGACAGAGACTTTATACAGTAACCACCCTGTCCAAATTTGTAGAAATTAAAGTTATATTTTTTCGATTGTCATCAGGTTTTCTTTAAGACTATCATATAACAATCAACAAAAATAGTATTCTTTGGTTTATATTCATTCTAACTTGTCAAGATATTTATCTTTCATTTTAGAGCTCTGCATTTATGAAATGTGCAGTTCCTTTGAATATTAACCTCACTTAAGGACAGGACTAACATTGGTTAGATCCACAGATATATCCTAGTCTAGTTCGACCCTAACCAACACAAAGAGACAGATACACAAATTAATATATAAGATGAAAATTTTAACTTCTTCAGGAGAAACAAAGATTTGATAGCTTTACCTCCAAACATATACAGACACGTCCCTCAGCGAGCGACATCAACATGTGTGTCATGTGGGCGTACGCTACTGGACTAACACGCATTTCACCCTGTCAATCAAACAAGGATAAAAAAATCTAGATAGAGACCAGTGTGCTGCCTGTACCACACACACAGATGAAGATAAAGAAAGGAAAACATACGGCTTTAATAAATTAACTTCTACACCTGATCAATAATGTTAATTATTTAAACTAATTATATTCGGTATATATTGATTACTTGTTCCAGTATAATTGAAAATATACATTAAAATAATAATTTGGACATACAGATATTTTTTTAAAATCCAATTAATACAGTATGACAAATTCAACTGCATTTCAGAATAATTTCTGAAAATAACATAAACATGCATAATCTTCAATTTACAACATTAACACGTGAAAACAAGCCTGCTATTTACCCCACTAACGAGTTAAATTAATAGAAGAAAGGGTCAAACATCATTAATCCTTAACATTGCAAGTGTGGAATGAATCTTTGGACACTATAGACAAGAGATTAATCCACGTAACAACCAATCCACAAAATCACAATGCTGGGGATATGGACTACAGGGGTTAATCCACAAAAACAATTAAAACACAAACACACAATGCTGGGGATATGGACTACTACAGGGGTTAATCCACAAAACAATTTAAATACAAACACACAATGCTGGGGATATGGACTACTACCGGGGTTAATCCACAAAACAATTAAAATACAAACACACAATGCTGAGGATATGGACTACTAGTGGGTTAATCCACAAAACAATTAAAATACAAACACACAATGCTGGGGATATGGACTACAGGGGTTAATCCACAAAACAATTAAAATACAAACACACAATGCTGGGGATATGGACTACAGGGGTTAATCCACAAAACAATTAAAATACAAACACACAATATTAAAATACAAACACACAATGCTGGGGATATGGACTACAGGGGTTAATCCACAAAACAATTAAAATACAAACACACAATGCTGGGGATATGGACTACAGGGGTTAATCCACAAAAACAATTAAAATACATACACACAATACTGGGGATATGGACTACAAGGGTTAATCCACAAGACAATTAATATACATACACACAATACTGGGGATATGGACTACAGGGGTTAATCCACAAAACAATTAAAATACAAACACACAATGCTGGGGATATGGACTACAGGGGTTAATTCACAAAGCAATTTAAATACAAACACACAATGCTGGGGATATGAACTACTAGTGGGTTAATCCACAAAACAGATCTCCGAACATAACATATTAACAGATCATTCCTGGTCTACATATAGTATACATGTAGTATCAAGTTAAAGCAGTTATAGAAAAGTCAGGAAACTAACGTTTTAAGGCTACCATGATAAATAGTAAGAGTTTACCAATACAACAATTTTCCTTTGATTTTACAGAATTCTTTCAATATCATCATAGTTGTCTTTTTCAAATTTTCAAAAGTAATTCAAAAGTTTTGGGTATCTCAGATTTTGTACTCTTGCTGTACAAACTTCATACTCCTTACATAACAATAGACCCAAATGATAAGGAAAGAACCTTATAATGTCACAACCACATTGATATAATCTGTCACTTCACACAATATCTTACATATCTCCAAACAATATTTTTCATGAATCTTATGTTAATTATCTTACTATCTTATTATCTTATATTATTTTGTATTTCTTACAAATCTCCTCAAATATTTTTATAAATGTAACACATCTTATTTTACAATTTTCCTTATGGTACATCCAGCATTATTACAGATAATTCTATATCATCTTATCAAATATTTTCTTGGTTACATTCTATAAACATAACAATGACATATATTCTATGTTATTTTTTTCAATATCTTAAATTTTGACTCGGTTTACAATTCTTGTCACCTGTCTCGGTACATTTGCTGTAACTGACCTTGTAGTCACCGATAGCTGCATCATAGCCTCCAGAAACTAACACCAGGTCTGGAGAAAACTATGGCAGAAACAACACCCATCTATCAATCTAAGTAAATAAGATATACATCTACTGCTCAACATATAGCAGCCTTTCTAGTCACCAGTCTTTCTAGTCACCAAAACATGCATGCATTCATGCCAGGCATATACCTAAAAAGTACAATGTAATTTGTCTTGTTGTCAGAGTCCATCATTTTTAACTGCTGAATATTACATCTCAGTATTACGATATACAATTTTGATGTCTATCATTTGGCTTTATCACCAGTTTCGTCAGCATCACATAAATAATATGTGATTCCTTTCTTTCAGACATGTTTCTTTACTTAAAGTACAGCTATGTGTTTGAAAAACTGACATACAAATCATCTGCCTAGAATCAATGGGCATAAACAAGGTTCTCACCACAAGACAAATTTCACTGTATCTCAAGAATGTATTAAATGGTCTCAGATCTTCTTTACAAAAAGAAGATCTAAGTTTGTGTTATAAGACTAAATCACTATTGTATTATCTATACAAGAGATCCCAAAGGAATCTTGGTGCCCACAACTGTTTGATCTTTATTTATTCTTTTAAAGTTCAAATATTTCTCTTTTTTCTTTTCTCTCTGCTGTAAAATTCGGACATTCCTCTCAAGAAAAACAACAATAATTTTCAACTGCCAAATCCAGGATGAGACATTTAAGAAAGATCCCCCAAATATTTAAAAAAAAAAAACAGAGATAAGAAACTTTCTTTCAAAATCCAAGATGGCTGCTCATCCACCATTTTGTTTTGCTGATCAGTTCCAAAATCAAACTGGCAAAACTAGTAACAATTGGGAACCAACATCTGAAATTTGAGAAAGATCCATCCATCACTTATCAGGAGATAACAAACATTGTTTATGGACAAAGGGACGGACAAACCAGCACCACAGACATAAGGCGATTTAAAAAGCCCACCATCTGAGGATGGAGGGCTAAAAATCATACGAGTATATTAGAATATGACGGAAAGAAAGATTTTGGATAATGAGGTGGGGTTTTTTTTTAGCTTTTATCTATCCTTCTAGAAATTTAGATTATTTTCTTTCAAGACAATGTTGTAAAAAACTGACGATCATTTTTATTCTTTTTTTGTTTTGGATGATCTTAATACTATTATTGTTTTTTTTTTAAATTTAGTTTATTCTCTGTCATCAGATCCAGCTCGTTGTTTGTAATGTCCATACCAACAGGTGTACATTGGTATAATGTGGCTTCTATGTGTGTTTATTAGGAAGTATCAGAAAGAGAGGTGTGGATAAATCCAAAAGCTGTGCATCTCACAATGCAGCTCTGACAATATCTTAACAAATGTACCGCATTAAAAATCCAGTCAACAAATAATTGAGTATATAACAGATCCAGTCATGTCCAAATATCTAAAAACCACTTATCTGCGGTGCTGTAAACTAATGATACAGGATTTACGGAGTTTGAACAACAATGACTTTGATATATCTATATAATATAGACAACAATTGACTTAAATTTAATTAATTGCTGATATACTTATATATTGACTAACTGGATAACAAAAAATCTGTTTTCTGTATTTGAAGCATACTTCCTGTTTATAAAACAATCTTGAAATATAGAGATATGAAATTATTAACTAAATCAGCAGTAAGTATTCATAAGTCTTTTATCTTCTACGTGTTTTATCTACAAGCATTATAATTAGTATATAGGTCGTGTATAAGATGTACCCAGATGTACTGCAGGTGCAGCTTCTCATGTTGTCATTTCTAGTACAGAAATATAATTTTGGATGCTACAACAGCAAAGCTCTACATGCATTACAAAGTCATTACAAGAAACAAAGGGACACAACACATGATATAACAAACAAATGCTGCAAACCCCAAACACCTTGATATTATCTATATGTCTCTTTCATCTTTAATTCATCATCCACATATGTCCACAGAAGGCTTCTAGCTTAAACCATTCAAAAAATATATTTTTCAATATGCTGGTATATTGTTGGCTGCAAAAATTTAACAAACAGTGTGTAGAAAGGTGGGTTTGGAGTTTACAGCTGGCAGTTATATATAAAAAAAAAAAAAAACGATCTCAGCATTCCATCTGGTACCTCTGGACATCCAATCGCTGCATCATACCCGCTAGACACCAAAACTAGGTCAGGGCTGAACTAAAATAAAGCAAAAATTGTTTTGTGATTAATTCAAGTTATGACATCATCCACCCACAATTACAAATTATGAAACCTCAACAAAGGAGTGAATATTTGTTCGTCTGATTTATTAAAATAGATTTTAAATATTAAAGATTTTTTTTTTAATCAGTTTTCAGCATGTTTTTTTCCTGAAATTAAAAAATCAACTTTATTTATGCAAATAAATTCCAACTTTGTTTATGCAAATAGATTAAAAAAATTAAACACACAACATGAATTATGGAAGTTCTCACCACTACTGATCTGTATAACACATTCAACCATTAGATGTTAAAATGACGAGTCCGGCTGCACTAAAATTTGTTTGCTGGGCTATATTTGCAAAACAACCAGCAATACATCACCAAAAATATAGGTTTACATGATTGAGCTGAAAATTTAATTCATCATACTTAAAAACATTTCAGCATTGTTTGATTTCAGTTTAACATTTACATCATTAACTGAAAAAGTAAGCATTGTAAATGGTACGACATCTAACTCTCAGATTAAACGTCAAGTTTATCAATCCTCAAATCACCAAATTCCATGTCTCAAGTTTACCACTACTAAGTTGGAGAAGGCGTTGACAGTTTCAACTGATTCATTTCAACTTTAAACCTGTCATTTCACATGGATTTGGCCTGAGAGATGAAGAAACCATTTACCATTTTTTCTGTTATTCATTTTAAAAAAAAAAAATTTTTAAAACATAATATTTTTTATCTTTTATCTTTTTTTTTCACAAGATCAATTTTCTCAAACAGTGAATTTCAACACAATTAGCAGGAATGAATGAGAGATAGCAAAATACGTACCTGATGAGCTAACGGCATAAGAATCTGGTGAAATATCGCTAGGTAGTCAGTGTCATTCATGTGAACCTGTTGATAAGACAAAGAAAACTTCACACTGACAGTATATAGTCATACAAATACATATAAGTTACTTTGATACATTATCTGGGTTACAATATGCACCATAGCACAGAAAATTACACGTATGCGTAACATTTTTGAGAAATTATCGCAAGTACAGTTATATTATCAATGTCAAAATTTTCATTCTTAATAAAACTGGATTAAAAAAAAATATTGAAACACAGACCTTTGAACAGTGTAAAGAATAAAGCGAGGTATTTTAAAAGACCAGGTATATTCTGTTTCGTTGAAGACATTCGTCATTGTTTATCTATGAACTAACTAGATACTTATGTATCTAAATCATTGCAGAGAAAACGACCCTGATGAAACTTTCATTTTGGACGGAGAAATCCCCAATGAGATTATATGGATGTTTTTGGTAAATCTAAGATTCTAATGGTTGTTAAAGTAAGGACTATGTAAACCTATGGAGGAGACATCACCGTGATATACAAACCTTATTTAGGGGTACATTAACGTTGTACCCCTTACCATTTCCCTCCCCAATAAAGTCGTAGTCAGATTCTCGAAGGTTAGGCCAGTACTTTCCATATTCATACCGGTGGATTGAAAAGTACAGTACTCTAAAAAAACAGAGAAATATATTTCAGATAAATATCCTTAAAGTGCATAAAACTAAACCTGTAAGTCACTGTCTCAAACAAACAAATCTCCCCCAACACCACTCTGAACCCCAAATCACAAAATAAAAAAAAAATGAAGATTTCACTAAAGGGAGATAACACTTTTTAGCATGGCAATTCAGTTATAAATAAATGTTAAGAGCACTTTTTCAGGGTAAGTAACATTACATAAGACAATCTCCATGTAGTGTTACCCTCAAACATGCATGTATCCATTACTGAAACAGAAAAAGAATTTGTAGGGCACAACCTACTTCATTCTTATCAGCACCAACTGCAACTTTAAAAAGAAATGATTGTGAATATTAGAAGGACAATTTAAGAAAACCTGCAGTCAACAGATCAATTGATGGAGAAAAATTGACTACAGTATACATTCCCCACCAGGCAAAGAAAGGTTTGGAATGTGAATTACCTTGGGTCATCATAGAACATCTGTTGTGTGGCTTGACCGTGATGGACATCCCAGTCCACAATCAGCACCCTGAAGTACAAAGAGAGAAAGGAGATTTTTCTTACATCATTTCAATCAACGTCATTCAAAAGACTCACAGAATAGTAGCTTATAGATACATATGGTTTTTTAGTCCTAGATTTTGGACCAGGAAGCTTGAGAGTACCATACATTTTCACTCCTAAATTATGGACTAAGTGCTTGAGAGAATGGTACTTTTCTCAGAGTTTGGACCTAGAAGTCTGAGAGTACTGTACCTTTTTTTGGACAAAGTGCTTGAGAGAATGGTACTTTTCTCAGAGTTTGGACCTAGAAGCATGAGAGTACCTTACCTTTTCACTCCTAAATTTTGGACTAAGTGTTTGAGAGAATGGTACTTTTCTCAGAGTTTGGACCTAGAAGCCTGAGAGTACCTTACCTTTTTAGTCCGAGATTATCTACTGCATGCTTGGCAGCAATAGCCACTTGGTTAATGAAACAGTAGCCACAGAACTCTTCAGTCATAGCATGATGACCTGGAGGCCTAAACAAGTCGAAAACAAAACATTTAATTAAACATGATAAGAAACTACAACATACAAAAAATGATATTATTAACAGAGAGTGCTAAAATTACATATACAGAAATGACCAATACAACTATGCTAAGAAGATGGAGAAAATTCATTCCATCATTTGCCTTGTTTAATGAAGGACTGCTTCCTTCTTCTGTTCACCAACCATCAAACCTATTTATAAGTTGTAAGGTTTAAGAGTTTTCTTCAGTAATTAATCATGATGACTTCTGGAGGCTAAACATAAATTCAAAACATTTCACCAAGAACAATAATTTCAATATAATTAGCTAAAGATGTCATGATTGGCTACTTACCTAATGATAGCCAGTCCATTTCTCACCTTAAATACAGAAAACATCAACTTAATGGGCACTTTGTAAAACTTAAGCATGAAACGTATTTATCAATTGTAATATTATAAAGCCTTCTTTGTAAATAATCAACCTACACCTAAACATAAATTCACTAGTGTTTCACCAAGAACAATAATTTCAATATAATTAGCTAAAGATGTAATGATTGGCTACTTACCTAATGATAGCCAGTCCATTTCTCACCTTAAATACAGAAAACATCAACTTAATGGGCACTTTGTAAAACTTAAGCATGAAACGTAAACTTCATCAATTAATATTATAAAGCCTTTTTGATAAATTGTAAACCTACACCTTAAACATACTTAACTGGAAATTACTTGTTTATCTACACCTGTGACCTATATAATCTGCGGTCAATTATAAACATACCTACATAAATCGAAATTAATTGTAACCTACACCTCTGACCTACATAATTTCAGACAAATTGTCAACCTACACCTCTGACCTACATAATTTCAGACAAATTGTCAACCTACACCTCTGACCTACATAATTTCAGATAAATTGTCAACCTACACCTCTGACCTACATAATTTCAGATAAATTGTCAACCTACACCTCTGACCTACATAATTTCAGATAAATTGTCAACCTACACCTCTGACCTACATAATTTCAGATAAATTGTCAACCTACACCTCTGACCTACATAATTTCAGACAAATTGTCAACCTACACCTCTGACCTACATAATTTCAGACAAATTGTCAACCTACACCTCTGACCTACATAATTTCAGACAAATTGTCAACCTACACCTCTAACCTTCATAATTTCAGACAAATTGTCAACCTACACCTCTGACCTACATAATTTCAGATAAATTGTCAACCTACACCTCTGACCTACATAATTTCAGATAAATTGTCAACCTACACCTCTGACCTACATAATTTCAGATAAATTGTCAACCTACACCTCTGACCTACATAATTTCAGATAAATTGTCAACCTACACCTCTGACCTACATAATTTCAGATAAATTGTCAACCTACACCTCTGACCTACATAATTTCAGATAAATTGTCAACCTACACCTCTGACCTACATACCTTTTTCTTAAGAATTTGTTCCATCAGCTCCACAGTGCTTCCCAGAGCCAGCAGGGAGGCTTCGTATGTCGCCTAGAGTGTAATAATAACATTGACAAAGAATCTTCTTGTTATACCAGCTGAGGAAAATTGATTTCAATTTGATTCAAATTAAGATTATTTGAAAAATAAAAGATATCAATTCCAAAAAAAAAAACCCCTAGAAATCTTGGTATGTTATGAATGTCCTATCACCCCAGCTCACTTACTGACATATCTCACAGGAGAGGTCCATGTCAAGGATTTTAATCATCCCTGGTGGGGCAACGAGGATTTTTTAAACAAAAATTAATTACAAACATAGGCCAATAGCAAACAGGAGAATGGGACCAGTGGACAAAATTTTTTGATATTGCCCAATTTCTATCTGTGACAGAGAAAAGTCTATAAAACTGAAATTGGATTTTTCGACAGGGACTCAAACTACATCTGTGACTCTGTATATTGAAACCATACACTAAACTGGACGTCATAATCTCTGACCATCACAGAAAAATGCAAAGAGCCATTAACTCCACTTTAAATGGTATTTTATAACTCCACCTAACTTTGGATTTGACCAAGATTCAATCTCCATCTGTAACTATGTAGTTTGAAGCCGCAGACCAAATTTCAAGTCAGTATCTTTAAGCATTACAATAAAATTTTCTGAAAACTGCAATCTTGCACAATATTCAAAGTGTCAGGGGCAATAACTCCACATTTGAATTTGGATTTTTTTACTTGGATTGAAACTCCATCTGTTATCCTGTAGTTTAAAGCCAAACACCAAATTTTGAGTCATTATTTCTCAACATAACAATAGACTAGATGCAAAATTTTGAGTTTTTTTTTTTTTTTTTTTTTTATTAGGAATGGATTTTGATTTGTAACTGCGTTGTTTGAAGCAACACACTAGATTTAAATTATTTCTCTCCAAACCTAATAAAAAAAACTTCCAGAAAACTGTTTTGGTACATACTGGTGGACAGAAGTGGGTAGGGGAAGGGCCTATATTAGAACAAATACTGTAGTTACATACCTGGTGTAAGTATATCGAGTCATATTTAGCTGAAAGTTTCTTAAGTGCCTCTCTAGACATGTCCACAGTTTCTTTCAATTTTTCCAAATGAGCTTCTGTGTGAAGAAGTAACACTTGGTCCTCTGTTCCATACTGGGCCTGTTATAACAAACAGCAAATGACTTAAAATACAAATAACAATTTTGTTTGTTTGTTTGTTTTTGTTTTTTTGGTTTTTTTTTTTTTTTTTTGTTATTACGTCATTATTTAAAATTTCAGGAAAAAACAGTCACATTCTTTTATTTCTATCATTCTCATGAACATTTTTGTCTATTTGGGAATCCCCCACACACCCAAGGTTACAATCACCTTTTCCCCTACACTCATGGAACCATCCTACCTAGTCAAGGGGTTATAATTGCTCTCTGCACCCCTGGAATATTCCATGGTAAAACAGAAGGCAAAGTAATTTGACTGGTCTGGAGCAGGTTTCAGGTGAATGACAAGAGGCCTAGTGGCCTTGACAGTCACCTGAGACTATATTGACTATAAAGGTTAAAAGGAAGTTATCAAGTGTCATGAAACAGAAATTGTGACAATGAAGCCAGTAAAACTGTCATCCTATACTTATAAATCTTACAAAGATATTTCCTGTGGGAGATAACCAACGTTTTGTTCAAAAATGCTAATCTTCTATGAAAATTACAGTAAAGTTAAAAAACAATTTCTTCCCCAGGAAGAAATGTGAGACCAATTTTGATAATTAAAGCAACTTCCATGTTTCCATTCATGAAGAGCATTTGATTCTACCACACCTGGGTGTTGAGAAGAATTAAACAAATTATGCTCAAAAATATATTTTTCCTATATAAACAGAATTTACCTCCTTATCATGGAGAAATGTGAAACCCTGGGGCCACGAAATTCACAATTTTGATCAAGCACCTTAAGATGCTTCCATCCATGAAGAGCATTTGATTCTACCATATCTGGGTGTTGAGAAGAAGACTTTTTTTTTAAATCTAAGTCAATTTGACCCCTTTTGGCCCCATTCATCAGCCCTTTTGGGGTCAGTCAGGATCAATTTGGACATAGCATACCATCAAGCTGTCATCCTTCACTCATAATTCAACCTTGTTTGAAATATTTTCAATGGAAATTAAACAAATTATGCTCATAAATCTATCTTTTCTATACATGTACATACTATAATAAACTATACCCCTCCCCACAAGGAAATTTAAGTCAATATGTCCCATTTTGGCCTTGCTCCTCAGGCCCCTGTGGTGTGGGGACTGTATAATTCACATTTTTGGTTTATCTTAGGCTAGGAAAGGTTTCTGCAAAATTTCATTGACTTCGGATCAGGAGTTTTTGAGAAAAAGTGGCAAATATTAAATTGTTTACAGACGCATGATGCAAGACGCCGGATGAAGGTGATAGCAATAGGTCACCATGAGAATTTGTCTCAAGTGACCTTAAAACTGACCAATCACAGACTGATATGCTCCTTTGAAGATTGCAAATGAGCAACACCTAACTTCATACCCACAAAAACATCCTCTTATGCGACCTCGAGATTTGTTTGATGTACATTAAAGGATCAAACTAGTCTTCTCTTATCTGCAAGGTGTAGCACCTTCAGTTTTCTTATGGAATGTTCCCTGGGTGCAGAAAGTGATAGTGAGATTAACCCCTGGAGTATTAAGGATGCAATTTGCGATCAGTTCTTTCAGTTTTATTCTTATGAAAATCTACCTCAAAAAACTGTGAGTTTCGGAAGTTAGCAAAAAAAAAAAAAAAATATGACATAATTTTACATGGCTTCATATTTAATGCTACACATATACAATTTACCTCAATTCTCATGCATCTTTCTACAAGTCTGAGCTCGGAGCATCGAGCAAATGCCTCTGTTATTCGTTCAGGTTTCTCCGCGAAGGCTGGATCCCATAAACAGTGGAATGTGGCCATTCTATCATCGTACACAAGACCAGAACTGTAAAAATCAAAACATTTGTCAAAAACTAAAATACATCTAACACTAGAACACAAGATTAATTATGATATATATAAAAAAAAATGTTTTATTTTTTTTTTACAAAAGTAGACATCATATTGCATCCTTATATGTACAGAAACAGAAATGTAACTGCTTTGAAGTTTTACTACAAAACATTTAAATAATTTTTTGTTCAATTTTCCAAGTACTTAAATCAAAATATACAATCAGTCCCTTGTATTACATGTATATTGATTTTAAATCAATTACAAATAATTCAGTGTGTCTATAAATATTTATACTAAGCTGAAATGAAGATAAACGTAGGATCATTCCAATGATGAGGTTAAAAGCCATTAGTAACACTTAAACAAAACTATAGATCACACCCTGTCTGTGAGATACCTTAATTGGTCAGGCCATTCCCAAAACCAGCTTTTCACAAAGGTCAATACGCTTGAAGCAAGTTTGGATAACTTTTTCCACATGGCGATTACTGGTTGATATTCTAATTATAATGACATAAATTTTTTTACAATGATGAGAGAGTCTGACCATTGGAAATACACTGGTCAAGAGTTCCAAGCAGCAACGCCACAATATCACAATTGCTGGTCATCTGTAAAGGATCTCCAGACATTTTCTCCAACATGGAATGTATAGCATATCCCATTGAGAATTTGGATTTTTTTTTTTCGAAAGTGAAATAAAAAATCCCTAAAACGACTACTGCACAACTCTTCGGACTTTTAACAATCGGTATATTGAACTTCGTTGTCCACTCTCACTAAAACAATTTTCCAAGAATATTTTTGATAATTTTGAAATGAACAAGAAAAGAAAACTCAGTTCCAATGTCAGTATGAGGGGAACTTTTCCTGTAACGAATTTTATGTGGTATGTAGTCACTTCTCAAAAAAATGTCAAGCAGATAGCATGCGTAACAGAGACAGGGAAATTTATGGCTGATAAGCAATTATCCCCACATGTGAACCCTCCTTGTGTAAAGTGTCAAGAACAGAAATGATATCCAACTATTTTAAGAGCAAAGGTCATTATTACCGGCCAAGGACTTTTCAGCAAATAATATTATCATGCATGCAATATCTTGAGTAAATAGAAGACTAGGCAGTTTACTGATAACATATTACGTTTTGTCCCTCCCAACATCCTGCTGAAAGGTTAGCTAGTTAATACAGATTGTCAGTATTTGTTGCGAGATGTTGTCTCTTCAACAAGGTAAAAATGGAATTTCTGTCACCAGAGAATAATGATGGCTTTAACGGTTACCAGACAAACAATATATTTGACATAATATTTTGAAAACAGGTGTTCACAAAGACATATTTGTCATCAAAATTTTGTAAGATTTTTTTGGAGTTTACTTATTATAAAGACATAGAAAAATCACTTGGTTGAAATGAGAATTTTGATATTAAAGTTACTTTTACTGTGGTTGAACTGTCATAAAGGATTGAAAATACATGGAATTTTTATCAAATGAATTTGAAACACTCTAATATTAGCTATGTTTAATTTCTTAATTGTTATGGTTCCGCATGAAATATTAACATCTGATCCATGCCAAAAAATTCAATGAAATCATTTCATCAGAATTAAATTTCAAGTGCAAAGTAATTAAAAATAAAGTTTTTCATGAGGACAGACTCAGACTAGGGGCCATTCTGAACTAGTACTTAAAAATATTAGTTAAAAGCTTTGAAGAGTGATAACTCTTAAACACAATATACTGGGAATAAGTTTTTAATATCATGTTAAATAAATTTTTGAGAACATTTTAAACTAAAAGCCAAACACTTATCATCAAAACAGGTACAAATGTTTTAGGCAACATATATCCTGAAGACTATTTCTTGTAGTTAATTCACATCTTTACTTTAAAAGCAGTTTTTTTTTATAACATCCTTTAACAGACGAAGTTTCTTTAATAGTTTCCGTGTATGTCACAGTACTTATCAATGATTTGATATCAAGTACCTTCATAGAAACCTGGTTATTTCTAAATTGATCAGATCCCTAAGACTGTCACATAGTTACCTCAACAGGCGATAGATAAGAGTAATGATAACTTCAGGTAAAATCTGGGAACAGGAAGCTGGTATTAACCTAGAATTCCAACCTTCACTAATAAGGGTGAATAGGTCTTATTACTTTACCTGTTCAGGTGAAAATGGTCTTTACAAAGTGAAACAAGCAAACATCCTACCTGTCACTGGGAAAATTATAGGGTAGTTTACAATTATTATAAACAAATGTTTTCCCTTTGACTAGGTCCACAGATGGTACCATAAAGGGCTTTGATACAGCTGTACAAAGTGCTTTTTCATATCAACTACTTCACATTTATTTACTGGTTTGAAAACAAGAGTATTACCCATTCTAGCTAGTTCAGAACAATATTTCTCTATATCACACAGGTACACATCCCTGTTCTTGTAAGTGAAAGATAAATATGTTTTTTCCCATGAAAAACAGCTAAGGCACAGTTTCATTTTTTCACCACTCACATCAGTGTGGCCTTATCATTTTATCATTTTATGTAGTGTAACCATGTTATAAAATAATAGAACTAAATATCATCAATTTTAACACATACTTCATGGACCATTCATGATATATTATATATATATCACACCAACAACTTGCTAAATCTACAAATTCAGAATGCATTTGGAGGATGTTAATCAATTACCATTGTGCGATGTAGACAGAATGCTTTACTTTAAAACTTTCCCAGAAGTCCAAGATAACTGTCTTACACCTAAGACAGGGATATCCCATGTAATACATAATATTACATTTTTCTGTCTCGCCCGATCTGTCTAGTACCCTTACGAGTGTTTTCTCAAAAATGTTTACGCATCAGTGTATTAATCCACTTGTAGGTACATATAAATCGGTGCAAAATGTACTATCTGCTTTATATGATCTGTTTTGTGTATTTTTTGATGTTAAGATTTCTGATGTTGTGGATGAAATAAGATCTTCACTGTAAAATGTGTTGTATTTTTTGTAAGTACGGCCAACATTGTTAACGCAGCAATATCCAAACGTTGTTTAAAAGTGAAGAGGCTGTGTGTGTAGTTTGAGGCATCCACACGATACTCCAAACTTTGATGAAATATTAAATAACTTTTCGAGTAGTAGATTTGGGGGAAAAAAATCTATTACCTGTAACTGAGCGAGCACCGGGTATCTCGGTCTCGGACTAAGAAGATCCTGTAACATCCTAACCTCGCCTAATGCCTCAGTTGGGATTATATTACAGGATCTTAGCCGTCGACTGAGATACCCTGATCGCGCTCAGTTACAGGTAACAGATCGTATTAGTCTACATCAAAGTGTAGATTAAACATGGTCTAAGTTGCAATCTTGTCCTTTATATCAATGTATAAATAAAACATTGAACAATTCATGTAGACTGGCGCCTGATTTATGTTAATCCCGATCCTACAAAGAGGTACCATTGCTGATATTTATTTCTATATATTATATATATTAAACAATATGGCCTCAATTCCCTATTTCTGCCCCTGCCCTTTATCAGAGTCAGTTGTGCTGAGTAAGAATTTCAGATGTTTTCTACTTAAAACAGTCAACATCAATCAAATACACTATAGAATTTGTGTGCAACATCAGACAGAATTAACCTTTTTGGCCCCTACCTCCCCGGCCCCAGAAGAATCTGCCTCCTCCCTATTCCTAATTTCAAATCATAATACTTGGTCATGGTCAGTCTAATTTGCAAAACGTAGTATAGAAAAATGAGAAAAAAAGGCAAAGCACAGTATTGAGACAAAGTGAGAGGGAATACTTCATACCAGATGACTTCAAAAGATTGAGCAAGGTAGACAATCTACTAACCAGTTTAATCATTGTTTAGACAAACTTTTATGCAAAATGAAAATTACTTAACTGAAAATAAAACATTTAAACTGAATTCAATATGTTTACAAGAAAAATAAAGGGCTTTATATGTCTAAGCCTGCATGGGAGGAACAAACTAACATATACCAGGGCATCTAACATTTAACTAAAGTGTGAACTTCTAAAACCCAAGTAAAGGCATGACAAAGGGACATAACTCTGTATACAGGAGTCAAATGACAGGTATTGACACACGACTCGACATTCAGTTTGCAAACTCCTCATTCCAAAGACCAATAATGGACAGAACTATATCAAAATTCAATAAAGGGCAATAACTCTTAATATGATAGACAAAAGACACAATGTCAGTACAAAACAGTCATCTAACTTCTGGGGTAGTCACAAAATCTGACAAATTTGGGTGCCGATGTACACAAAACAATGACCAGACATGGTGTTTAAAGGGACATAACTCCCACAAGATATTGTATAAGGTCAATGATGAGGCTGTCTTCATAATGTTTAGAAAAACACAAATCCAAAAATACACATTGTTTATTTTCAGAAATCACTTTGCCTTTTAATCTGTCTTTCTTTATTCTGAAGAGTTTTATTTGTAAAACACCAATTAAACTCTGTTCTGAAGCTGGAAAATGTGTTACACAAATGACATGTAATATCATGCCAATATTTATAGATAACTCAGTCCCCACAGGGAGAAGTGATTCCCTAGTAAAAATAGAGAAAGTCATTTGATTACACAGTTCTTGGTCTATGGTAACATGACTCCCAATTCAACATCATCCATCTTTGATTCATTATATCTTAATTTATTTAACAGCAGCAACAACACAACTAGCAGTCATACAAATCTCCCTTCATTTGAAGAGTGACATCATTATAATCATAGATCATCTGTATTTTTTCTCTTCACAAATTTTATGTCTACAATTCAGCAATATAAATTTACTTCATGTCTCCTTTGATTAACTCCAGCTGGCTGTGTTTCTTTGTCAGTAACTGAGACAGTGTTTTTGCCAAATTAAAGCAGACAACAAAAGCCTATTGTCTCACAGGAGATGAAAAGAATAAAATATGATGTCATATGACATGTAAAGCCTCCAAACATGACTTACACCTCATTCACTAAATTACTGCTAAGAATCATTTGTCAGGACTATAAACTCCCCCCACCCACCTCCCTTACCCCTAAGAGAACATGTAGATGCAATGCTTCCTACATACTGTGTTTTAAACCAATCAGATCTCGAGGATTTTCCAATAAAATCTAAATGGGGATATAAAATGTTACTCACCCTTCAGGAGGCTCTGGTTTATTCACAGTAATACCCTTAAAGATAAAGAATTTTCCAAAAATTAAGGTCATATTACATCAATCCTATTAGATAATAGCTTGTAATATTTAACAGAATAAGAGACCCAATGGGCCTGAAACACTCACCGGGTATATATTAAATTTTTCAAAATTCATTTGACAAACTTAAAAAATTAGGTATACAATTCATTAAGTAAATGAACAAACACAAGGCAAATTGGCAATAATGGTATTCTGAGAGAAACAAATTTAACCATTGTGACCTTTGACATAGGTCAAGGTCATTGCTTTTCGCAAACTTGATCAAGCTTCATCCTAACTAATTTATCATTAACCAAACTATCATCTCTCCTCTAGCTAAATGTCATTGTGAAAACATCATGACTGAGCCGATAGAACCAGGTTTACATATGTCAGTATTTATATAAACGATATAATCACCAGCAGAATGAAGGAAATGTTTCAAAATACAAGATATTAACCATTTTAGTAAGCTGTTCTATCAAATAAGCATCATCCTCATCATCACTCTCCGAGGATTCAGGGTTCTCTAGATTCTTCTTTTGTTCCTCTTTTTTCCTCTTTTCTTCCTGTTTTCTTCTCTCTCTACCCTGACGCTTCACTCTCTCCAGTCGCTCACGATGAATGACATGTGCTGAGTGCGCACTAAGTCCCTCAGTCTGTAATGACATATCAAACATTGTATCATTTTTTTGTATATAGCTACTGAATGTTTAGTTAACAAGTATGTCTGGTCTATGACCTCTGCACCATAGACAGCCACGATCATTCAGTTCAGTTAGATATGTTTAACCCAGGTAAAATATTAGTCACAATATATCACTAGACTTGAGAGAGCTTCGTATTAGCTCAATCAGTTGAGCGTAAGACTAGTCAGCAAAGAGGTCCTGGGTTCAAATCTGAGCGGAGGCATTGAAATAAATAATGACCTCTGTTATACGAATGTAGAACGTTTTATGACTAGAGGCTAAGAAAACTATACAACATCAAAATTTGGTTAAATTCAGCTGTGATGTGTTGTTATGGATGGCAGACAAAATATGATGGAAATGGAAGCACAACAGATTCAGAATCATCTCATGTACTTCAAACCAGGTAAAAGAATTTTGTTAATGTAATCAGATATTAGGTATATATATGAAGTTGAACAGAAGAACTGAAAGTATAAATAAACTCAAGGCCAAAAAAAAAGAAATTAGTCTACAATAGATAACCCTAACAGAACAAACAATGAATTCTGAAATTCAATGTAACACAAGTAATTTAATCAATGAAAAAGATCAGTGACTTACTGGTATCTCAACTTCGGTCTCGTCAGTTCCTTTGTCATCCATACTCAGACTTGCAATAGTTTCAGAGGAATTTCAAAGTGTGAATTTTACAGTGAGCTAAACGGATCAGTTGTTCAGATTTCTGAAATTAAAAAATAAAAATCTGACATGAAATATTTTTGTTACTTGATAATCAACAGATTGACAATTAATGAATCTATTATATATTCATTATCACAAAATAATTTCTGATATTTCAAACTTTACAGGAACAGGATTCTTTTCCTTTATTTATCAGTTAAAATCCTTCCATTAAGGCAAATTTGATTTTTTAAGTGACCGTATTCTTCTTCTGTCAGCCAGGAACATACTACCAAGAGGACATATTATCTCATTATAATGCTTTCCCAAATAAATCATACATTTAGACGACCGTCCTTGATTAAGAGATAGCGCCCAGGTGCTGGTAATGACTTCAAGTTTTTTTTCATGTTTTCACATGAACATTGTGTAAAATCCATCTATGAGATTCTTTTCTATTTTATTTTAAGGGTGTGTAATCATTTGGGTTTTTTTAATCTATTAAAGATTAACTTTCTACCTTTTTGAAGTTACCCTGAGAAAACTAAATTTGCACTCAAGAAAATTGAATGAATTGTAAAATTCTTTCTGTTCAGTTTTTTTTTTTTTTTTTTTTTTATTAAAATACAGTTCTAAAGTTTACTAACACAAAAATAATAAAACATACAGCTAACCTGACTAAAAAAAACTATCATCAAAGAAGAACCTATTGTTCCAGTTTTTCTGATCCCACAGAATAGGAAGGTTACACCAGTACATCAAACTGTCATTGTAGTAACTAATTGTAACTGTGATACAAACAATTCTGACCAAGTTTAAACAAATTACGCTCAAAAATCTGCTTTTCTTATATAAAATATAACAAATTTCATCCCCTCCCCTGGGGAAAATGTGAGCCCCAGGGGCCTTGAAATTCATGACTTTGGCAAAACAACCTCAAACACTTCCATCCATGAAGAGTATTTTAATTCTACCATGTCTGGGTTTTGAGAAGAAGATTTTTTTTAGATATTTCTGATGGAAATTAAACAACTTATGCTCAAAAATTTTATTTTCCTATATAAACTTGAGTAAACTGTAACTTGTCAATATTCTATGTGGATGAGTAAGTCTGTAAAACTGTATTTATGATTGATGTTGTGAACAGTTCTGGAGTCCTGATGGAAATACATGTTTTTAAATGTAAGTAACAACATAATTCTTAACTAAAATGATATCCAAATTATTTATTTAGCATGTGTTGAAGGGTAGATAATTCTATTACACTCATGCTGAACTAATTGGCCTATAACTCTACCAGGGCAGTTCAGAAATACATCACACCTATATCAAAAAAAAGTAAGAGGCCCAATAGGCCTGAATCGTTTATCTGTTCTGTGGTTTATACATAGGAAAGTCAGTTTGTTAAGTCAATTTCTGCAAATTTGAAAACCTCTTGTGTGCTACCACAAAGAGTATGACCCAGAATCTATTGCTAATTGAAAAGAAGAAACCTTACTTTATAAAGACATCTGACCTTAAAAGTGGGTCAAGGTCATTCATTTTAGCAAACTTTGTAGCCCTTCATCCTAGCATGCTACAGAACCAATATCAGTGACCTTGGCCTTATGATTATTGAAAAGTCATTTGAAGGTCTTGACACTTCACATCTGCGACAACGAAAGTAGGTTACAACCATTCATTTGAACAAATGTGTTATAACTTCATCTCAGTATTGCTAGAGGTCCAATATTAGTATCCTGGACCACTTGGCTATTGAAAACAAGGGAAAAGGCAGATGCCAGGCCACAGTATAAGCTCACTAGAATAGATATGATATGTATCCTGGCTACCAAACAGGTCTGTGCAGAGAAATAATGGGCGGGTACAGCTTAAAATGTTCAGAAAAGTTTGAAAAATATCTTATGTCTATAAATTTGCTCAGTTAACAATGCTTTCACAGTTACACGTCACTATGGCTATATGTTATACTTGTGTCTATGCATATTGTGTTAATCTATTCAGAGACATAAGTTGAAATCTGCGCCCCTGTTTCTGATGTATGAAATTATGTTACCTGTATGAATATTTGTGTAGAGAGCTGTGTCTAAGATTAAATATAATTTAGTGCCCCTGGTGAAATTAAAATTCCATGTACTGAAGATGGCCTTGTTCTTGTTCTTGGGCTCGCATACATTATACATTTATGCAAATTGAATACATGACATTTGTGAAGATGTGCTTAAAATTTCATCACACCGAAGTAGTTTTTGTCGTGATGACCGATTTTTTTTTTTTAATTTTTTTTTCACCAAAAATAAATACTCACTTCTCTTGGAGACCTAAATAACATCTTCCGGATGCCGATGTTCATAGATTTATATATTTTATATCAATTATACAAAGCATGCGTGTTCAGTGAGGAAACATAAGTAATGTTCTGTGTCACATTACTACATGAAATAGAGAACTTAATTATAGAACATCCAATTCCTGTACTGTTTCAAAAATATCATGCATGTACGAAACCTCTGTGTTGAGGGTGGACACTGAGGGCAATGCAAATGTACAAACTGTGAAAATATGAATTTCAAATCTATCAAAAATGTCCGAAGAAAACATAATCTCGACATGATTTCAATCAGAACATTCTGATCATGTCACGACCATTGTGTTAAGTCTTGGACGATGAGAAAGTCTCTGATCTAAATTATTTCCTAACCTGAATCATGTGTCAGTTATTACGTCATCAGAGTATGCACTAACTTTATTTATCAAAATTGATGTGTTGCATGCAAGGGAAGAAATATAATACTTGATTTACATCAAATTTTACATCTCAGTATGATAAATTGCTTATTAAAGGGATATGTTATTTATGTTAAACTTTTTGTAATACCATAGAGCCAATTATTTTCGCAACAATACTTTTTCTATTTCACGATATAAAATGACCTAGAAAATTTAGTCCATGAAATAATGGAATACATGTGTATTAGATGCCCTTTTACATCCAGATTGTGAAATTTAAATCCATTTAAACATAATTTGATTGTTTTAAGAGAAAATTACCAAAAATTTGATCCACAAAAACTGCCAGCTTACATGTTAATTTATATATGGAGGTTTGTAATTTGTCCTTGTACACTAAAATTCCTTGCTTTCAAATTGCAATGAAAGGTTCCTCTCACTCTGTACCTTTGGCAGGCAAAGAAAACATTCAGTAAGTGTTATCAACAATTAAAGTCATGTCATGTATGTCCTTGTGCAACATGCATATGAAAATTACAATTTTTTTTAACTGGATGAAGGCATCCATGCCAAAACAAACAATGCTTCACAGATAAGCACTTGAGTAGCATTACCTTTGGACAGCTGACATTATTTATCTAAGGACAAATGCATAACATTCTATTCAATAAAACGTGGATTATGTAATGAAATCAACAAGACATTCTTCACATAACCCAGCTTCAGCTGGTGAATGTTGAGAACACTTCTACATAATGTATTGTTATTATATCTAGCGAGTAATTCCCAGCATACCCTGTGGTATCCAGAGGTTTACTACCCAAGGACCCTACCTGAAACTGTCTGATCTGCCAGGACAATGACATTCCTGAAAGCACTATTTCAACAACTGCATTTGATAAGCGTTTTTTTATACAAGATCTACCATATAGGTTTCATGCAAAACGATCTGCTTCGTCTGTCAGAATTGATGATTGTTCATGCGTGGTCAGAGAAAATATGCATCTCATTATTCTACAGTTCAAATGCAGTCCTTGAGCGCTGAGTCTACATGATCATCTGTAAAGTGTACCTGGGGCTGTTTACCTTTAAACTGCAGTAATGAGAAATTAGTGACTGCTACAGGCCAATCTCATGTCACTACGTTAAAACTTCCAAAACAATGGTCACTTAAGTTTTCATGTCAGCATTCTCATCTTGTTTTATCAAATTTCATTTTTATAAATTTGTTTTTTAATTCTAGAACAGGACTTCCAACAGCTATATGCGACTCATTTAATTGAGGTGTGAATAAATCACAAACTTGTTGCTGTGTAAAACAATTGTGAATAGAGAGCACTTTCCGAATCTTGCATAACAAACAACATTTTTTTTCAATTCATAGAAAAATGAAAATTAAATTTTAAAATGTCTAATTTTAGCATAAATCATGAGAATCAGGTTTCGAAACCGAATTTAAAAAAAAAAAAAATTTTGTTACTTATGGCGATGAATGAAGCTAGCTTGCTGCTGTTTTGTATGTGTACACACATGTATGATATATTGATGTACTTCAGGGTCAAATGCAATCAAAATGCTGAAATTTTAGCTGATACAAGAACTGAATATTTTTTGTTGTTTTCATGTATTGATGAAGAGAACTGAACCTCATGCACGCTGCTTCATAGTTCACCTCATTTGCACAATATTCATTACCATTAATCAGTTCATACAAGCAACAAAATAGACACTTCATCCTTTAACTCCTAACTCCCAAGAATTTTCCATGACACTAAGAAAAATCTGTCAGTTTGTTTCAACATGAATTTTCACCCTTTTCCAGTCAACTTTTTGGTCAGCAACTCCCGTATACTTAGGACCATAAAATACAAGCTTTCCGAATCTTTTGACAAAAATCGTGTTGTATGAATAACGATTTTACCATAGCAACCAGAATCTTAAACATTTGGAAAAAAAATATAAATTTCCTAGTATTAGCAAATATTTTCAACCATGGAAATGAATAACAAAAAAAATACATGCGTAATTCTTGATATTGTGAACTACTGGAGAAGGAATCTAAGGATATGTATATGCCAAAAATTTACTGATTTACGGTTTAAAGTTGCCATGGCAATCAAAATTTGAAATTTTTGAAAAACGTTAATATTGTATGAAAAAATTTATCTCAGGAAGCATTGAATAAAAAGTTATTTTATACACACTGTAATTTCTGATGTATTGAAGAAGTGTCTAAATTACAAGCCTTATTGAATATTTATTGTCACAACAAAGTGAAGTAGAAATATAAGATTTTTCTACATGTTTATTCTGAATGTGTTT